CTTTTAAGCACAACAGCATACATCTACATAGTGGCTAACTGGCTGGGAGTAAGGAATGTGGGCCAAAGGAAAATAAACTGGCAATAACAGATACTGAATGGGTATACCTGGGTTCATTTTAGCATAGTGTTCACACTGGCGAACTAACTAGTTCTGTAATTTTAATTATTTCCTCATCAATACTAATGGAAAAGAACATTAATAGACAATATTACACTGAAATGTGATGACATGTCAGAGGTTACACGGTATGTAGAGCACTGGGGATAAGGAGAGTTGAGGGAAATATTAAGTCATATGGCTTATAAACTGTCATGTAAACAAGTCAGAAACTAAATTTTACCCTTTAACTTCAGTCTTATAAGTAGAGATGGTGAAGTTATAAACTTTTTTAAACAGTATTTTCTCGTAACAAAGAGGAATTAATATCCTTTATTACTCATCAGAAATAGAAATTTATAAGCTTTGATATTTATCATTCATAATCCAAATACAAAGAAAATGATGATGCTTCTCTTGTATCAATATATAAAGATGAAAGGGTCTAAGGAAAAAAAATTCTCATACAACATTAGTGGGTATGTAAAATTGGCACAGCCTTCTTGGAAGTCAATTTGGTAATAATCATTAAGATTTAATGTGCACATATCCTTTGACCCATCATGCTTCTAGGAATTTACCCTATAGACATATATCCACAACTGTGAGCAATAACACACACACACACACACACACACACACACACACAAAGTATTGTTTTTTCTTTCAAAAAGAACAACCTGGAAACAAATGTCCTTCGATGGGAGACAGGTTAAATAAAGTCATGTACATCACAACATGCAATACCATCATCCATTAAAAGCAACAGGTAAACCTGTATGTACTCACTATAAAAGATGTCCACATTACACTGCTGAATGTAAAGAAGTTGTTTTGGGGTAAAATATACTTTTTACCCCAAAAGGAATTATATACAAGTATATGTAAACATACATATGGCATCCAGTAGTGTGTGCTTCTGTACATGTTCAAACTCTCACCTAGATTACTTCAATCTCTTTGTGACACGTCTCCTGACTTCTACTCTGATATCCCTCCAGTCTATCCTTCAAGCTGCAACCCAGGTAATCCTTTTAAAAAGCCAATCAGATTATGTCATTGCCCTGCTCTGTCTCTTCCAAAGCCTTCCAGTTATACTTAAAATACCATGCAAAGTTCTGATGGCTTACAAGAGTTAGTATGATATGGCCCTCATCTACCTCTTCAGACCCTATTTTCTATTACTCTGACCTTAGCTTTTTGTGTTCTGGCCACAAAAGTCTCCTTGTTATTCTCAGTCACATCAACATCTGCTTTGCACTTCATCTCTCTCCTGTAAGGCACTTTCCCCCCAGATATTTGTATGGCTAGGCACTATCACTTCATTCAAATCTGTATTCAAATATCACCATATTTGAGAGGACTTCCCTGATCACCATAACCTGTAAAGGATTCCCTGTCATTCTCCATTGTTTTACTCTGGTTTCTTTTTCTTCATGTTACTTATCATACATTAATTATCTATTTATTTGGTAATTATCCATATCCTCACCAGAATGAAAGCTCCAGGAGGATAAGCACTTTGTTTTGTTAATGGCTGTTACCTTCAGAGCCTCAAACTGTGGTATATAGATATAGTATTTGGAAGGATACAAGCCAAACCATTTATTTTTCATTTTAAATTTATACATATAAAGTTGAAAAATTCTAGTCGTCTATTTTGTCCACAGTAAAAGAACACTGATTAAACATTTGTTACTAAATAGTACTTGAGTTTTCATGTATCAGAGAATAAAAGGCAATAAAATAAGATGAAAATAAGTCTCATCTCCAAATAAGAATTGTCAGATAATCAGCAATCAAATAATACACTAAAATAACTCCCCCTTCCCAAAATTCAAGTTTTCCTTCCTATTAGGAAAATTATTCCATGAAATCAGTCTGACAGTAGTTTGAAAATAACAGATTGCTAACTGTAAGCAAAAGCTAAGCAATAATTATGGTTGATTCATTGAGTTTTATAGTTACCCTTTTTCTTTTTTTTTTCCCTCACAAAGAAAGCATGAAAAGGTCTTTTCTGTGGTGTTGATGCATTCCAAGTTTCAGAATTCAGAGGTGCAATTTTGTTTAAAATTATTAAAATAAGTATTAAGGTGGAAGTAAACTGATACTAAGTTTTACTTAAGGTTAATATTTGGACTGACCCTCTACTATAAAAAGATGATTGGAAAGGTTTCTGCTATTACATGATTTTACATTACCAAAACAATGTAGAAGTGTCACCTATAAAAAGTTTATCTGTCCACTTAAAAGCTGGAAACAGAATCATCTAATGTGCTTTAAAATGTTCCAAATGAAGAGTTTCAGTCACTTTTTAAACCCATTTACTTAAAAAAATATTAAAATGCAATATAGCCCTCAGGGCCCTGACAAGAAAGAGATAATACTCAAAAGGAGGTGATGTTTAATGAAGACACCATTTACAAATGTGCAGGTAAGGTTAAGGGAAACTAGGAAGGGATGGTGAAGCACTCGTGGACTAGCTAGAGAGCATTATTATCACTCTAGGCTCAGTAGGGAAAGGGGAGGCAATAGTTACTGGGCCACACGATGATGATGCAGTTACTGAAGCCCAGCAAAGAAGAAGCTGTTAGAATAAATATCCCTACCTCTCTGTCAGGGCCTCCAACTGACTGAACCCAATCAGAAGCCAGAAAACAAGGCAGACCAGTTGATAACAGTCCTTAGAGATCAGCTTCCTGGGGCACAGAGCATAGTGCACAAGGGTGGAGAATAGATTTGAAGGTGCAAATGAAGATTATCCAGCACAACAGGAACTTAGTATTAGTTTTCAAGAGCAACTAACTGAAATTAGGAAAGGCAGAACTTTTTTTGGTGGATTTCAACAAAAACTTTTGCATGTTTGATAGATAAGCATCATTATGTAGTCAGCCCAGCCTGTCATGCACTTTTTCCATCTGGATTTGTGTATCTTTATGAGCTCTGAACTACAACAGTCTTTAAAACCAAGTACCAAAATAAACTCAACTTAAAACAAGCCTTTTAGATAACTCTACAGCCAATTATTAAACCAAGATTTTCCAAACTAATGAAGTATCAAAACGCCCTTACCAAAAATAACTTTTCATAACATTATTTTTTAAAATTTAAAATATGCTTAATCTCTCATTTCCAGGATCTAGTTTAATGTATTGTGATATAACGTTTTATAATATATAAAGCATAATAGTACAGAAGAACCTATATATGATTTATAAATAAATATGCATATAATAGGGGTACATATTCAAAACCTTCTCTGCTTGAGAAGCCAGATCATAAACGTTTGGAGACCACTCCTCTCATCTCCAGCTAATGTATGATACCCCTAACAGTTTTGGAACAAAGAAGTCTTCATCCACACCAAAGGAAAAAAAAAAAAGCATTTATCACAGATTGTTAAACTTATTTCCTACTTGATCTTCTTTACTTTTTCTATTCTCCCAATTGTTACTCTTATTCCCCTTGCATTTTAAACTCATCTTCATCCAGACCTCCAGGCCCTTGTTTGGTTCCTTTATTTGCTCTCACATAATTCAGCCTCTTTCAGCTATTCATATAGATAACTAAGTTGGGAACCATCATATATGACTAACCTCTTCTATCTCATCTCCCTTGACCAATTTATCTTTCTGTCTCAGGCACCCTACTATCTTTCTCTTGAATCTCGGCTAAAAGGTCCTTCACGCCTATACCTCCACTACTAAGCACTGTAGGAGAAAAAAATCACCACCTTGTAGTTTATTGTCTAACCGTAACCTAAACTGGGCTCGCCTAAGATTACTTCTTTGAAGGAAGTCAACTCCCTCTTCGGTTCTCCATAACAGCAACTTCAAATGCCATCATTATTCAAAAACTTCACCTCACTATCCATCATCATATAGCAGTTGACTTTGCTTATTACTTATTTCACAGACAAAATGGTAGTTTTAAAGAAAGAGCTCGATTAACTTCCTGATTCTCAAAAAACAAAATTATCTGAATCTAAACAAAATGTATCTGCACTTTAAGCTGCAGTGAAAAAAGTGTCTCTTATCAAAAACTAATCCTGCAGTAGGTTTTCAGAATTTTTACTTCATTAACTATCTCCTGGATCTTCAGCCTCTACCTGCTAGTTGCCTTTAGCATATAAACATGTCCAAGTTTTTATTAAAAACAAACCATTCTCCTTGAGAAGAGCCACATCTAAATCTTGGTCCATTTCACCTTTCATTCACACCTCAAACTGTCATTTGCCTGCACCTACTCTATTGAAATCCCTCTTCCCAAATGACCTCCTAGTTATGAAATTCAAGTGACATTTTTCATTTCTTATTCACTCAACCTCTGTACACCATCTGATTACTCTTTTATCAAGACCTTAAACTGGACTTTGCAGAAAGAACAGTTTTAGATAGGTAGGAAAGAGGGGAAAAGAAATACTAATTAAGAAGAAAAATATTCATTCATATTATTCAAATTCATTCATTCAAAATATTTACTGAGCAACAGGGATTCAGCAGTGAACATGCTGACAGTTCGCATATATTCGGGTTGAAACAATGGTGACACCACTGAAAAAAATGTTAACGTTGAAAAGAAAAATATGAAAATTGGGAAGGAGACCTGGGTTAGAAATACACTTAGTTTTTAACATTTTGATTTAACACTTGCACAACCAGCTGGGAAAGTTCTGTGGACAGATATATGAAGCTAAAACAAAAGGGAAGGCTCAAGATATCGATTTGAGAGTCTTAGAAAGTCATAAAAAAGAGTCTCTCCACAGAGGAATAAATATAGGGAGATATGACCTAAAGGCATAACTTTAGGGATTATCCATAATTATAAAGAAAAACATAGCAAAAGAAGAGGAAGACTCAAAAGACAATAGTTTAAGTTAAGAAACAGCACTATAAGGGAATTCCCTGATGGTCCAGTGGTTAGGACTCAGCGCTTTCACTGCAGGGACCCAGGTTCGATGCCTGGTCAGGGAACTAAGATCCCACAAGCCACGTGGCGTGGCCAAAAAAAAAAAAAAAGAAGAAACATCACAATAACAACCAAAGGAGAAAAGTTTTAAGTACCAAGTGATCTAAACTATTTAGTTCTCCTGATAGATGGAAAAAGTACTAAGTAAAAACCAAGGATTAAGAAGAAGGCATTCATTAGTATGGAAAACTAATAAGGGAATAATTACAATAAGGGAATAATTACAAAGAACCTTATAAGTTAAAAAATCTTTCAAAGTCCTTGTTCATACCTGAAGTGGCACCAAATAAGTGACATAATTCCCCTAAATAACAACCAAAGACCACCATAACTAATTTTTTGAAAACCAAACATTCTGCTTAGAATAAATTTCCATTTCTTGATTTTGCCTTTCTAATTTAAGGAAGGGACAAAGGTAAATGTAAAGTTTTTATTTACATAGGAAGGATACTTGAGAAGTGCCTTACCAACCTCAACAACTCTGATAAGCATTTTTAGTAAGTTAGGGCTGTTCTGTTGAACATTTTACTACCACTACAGCTAATCCTTACCATATAGAAGCAGTGATGAGTTTTCAGTACAGGCAGAACAGAGGGCTCCCTAGGTCCTTATCTTTCATATAGTCTGGTTATGTTCATGTTCCCTAGAAGATACTAAAGCTGTGACAAGTCTGCAAAGTGGGCAGGTAGATAGCTTGGCTTCCTTTTCTTGGCTAACTCCTCTAAATATCTGCCAAGTACTGATGAGGATTTAAAGTAGGACACTGTAAATTCAAGATACTTTCAGATGTGACACAGACACAAAGAGGAAAGATGGAAAAGCTGGGGCAAGTCTTGCCTCTACCTACTTGAAATAAGAGGTCATAAAAAAGAGATGTAGGCACCTAACAAGAGCTGAAGACTTAACTGAAATTAGGAGGATGTGGCAAGTGGATATTATGTGTTCACAGAAAATAAGCAATGCTACCAACCTCTTTCTTTATTGTGCATTTCAAGAATGGGAGGAATGTCATTCTTATTCCACACAAACTAGTAATTCCTGTTGTTCTCTCACATTTTTAATTTAAAAATGAATATTTTATTTTCCCCTTTTATTGAGATATAATTGACATAAACCACTGTGTAAGTTTAATGTGTACAATATGTTGATTTGATACACATATATTTTGCAACATTATTACCACCACAGGGTTAGCTAACACCTCCACTGGGTCACATAGCTAAAAACAAATATTTTAAGAATTCATTTCTGAATTATATCTTTCTTCTGATTAAATTATCACCTTGCCCTCTGGGTTTTGCAAGGTCCAGCATGGGTTACAGGACTCTCTATCTGGCCCTGTTGCTGTCATTCCATCACTCACTCACTCCACAAACATTTACTGAGCACCTCTGGGTGCCAGGCTCTGCTTTGGGTACTGGGGATTCAAAAGACAGTGGTCTTTGTCTTCCAGGTACTTGCTGCTCTCTTGCATTTTCCAGCCATGCTGGAATGATGGAGATGATTTCCTTATCCAGATGTGCTGCTTGGTATTGCACCTCTGCATCAGTCTCTCTGTTCTTTCTTCCCCTGATCATCTGGTGAGCTCCCTTCCTTTCTTCAAAATCCAAGTCAGATCTCTCCCTCCGTGGAGACGTCTCTATCTTTGACAATAATCATTCAACTCCATCTCATTGTGGTTCCTTCTTTATGTCTTTAACAGTAGAAGATCTTTTCTGGTAGGTTCCAGTCTTTTTCACTAATGGTTGTTCTGCGAATAGTTATGATTTTGGTGTGCTCATGAGAGGAGGTGAGCTTAGGGTCTTTCTACTCTGCCATCTTGGCTGATCTCTCCATCTCCCACATATTTCTTATGCCAAGTGACCAAAACATGGGTGGTGCAAATGTTGAGTCCACAATACTATTTTATACTATTAAAAAGTATTAAAAGTACCTTATGTAAAAATAAAAACATGAAAATTTCATTTCTGGAAAATTCAGAAAAAATCATTTGACAGAGGACTCATCCTACCGGATATTAAAATGGATTTTAAAGTCACAGTAATAAATTTAATACCAGAAGTTGAATAGTTAGACATACCAACAGTAGTGGAGACAGTTCAAAAGTAGATCCAAATACACCAGGACTTTAATATGTTACAAAAATGGTATACCAAAGCAATGGAAAAAAGTGATGCTGTGACACGTAGCTGGATGTGAGAGAAAAATAAAGCTGGATTTCAACCTCACTCCTTGACCAAAACAAATTCCAGACAGATCCATTTATTTGTTCATTCATTCATTTATTCCTTTATTCAATATTAAATACACATAGATACTGAGACAGGTGTTGGCATCAACGCTTACAGGCAAGATTCCTCCTTGCTGAGCTTACATGCTAGTAAGAAGACACACAAAAAAAGAGTAAAGACATACATACACATACACATAAGTCTTAACTATAATATACTATAAATTCTGTGAAGGACAGTCAAGAATAATTTCTCTGAGGAAAATGAGAGGAGGAGCCAGCCATGACCAAAACAAACAAACAAAAATAAGCAAACAGAAACCCAAAGAAAACCCTGGGAATAAGAGTGTTCTAGATAAAACAAAAAGGAAGTATAAAGCCATTTCTCAATGGCTTGCTAGGTATATAAAAAATGGCTTGCTAGGTATATAAATAACAGTAAGCCAAACTCCTTACTATAGCCTAAGTGCCAATGAAGTGCTTGATGCAGGGTTCTGACTTCTCAATGTACATTTTTTTTAAAGTTCACCACGGCTGCCAGGTAGAAAATGGACTCAAGGAGGAAAAAGCAGAAGCAGGAAAAACAAGTCAGGAAACTATAGCAGTATTTCAGGCAAGAGATGATAATAGCTTGTACTTAAGTGGTGACAGTGAAAAGAAATGGGCAAAATTTAAAACATACTTTAGAGGAAGAAAGCTCAGAAATTGTTGATATGCTTAACAAGAGAAATGAGTGAAAAGGAAGAATCAATTAAAAAATCATGATTTTTGGCCACAGCAACTTCCCAGACAGTGGAGTCATTTGCTCAGAAGGTAAGAACAGGCTTAGAAAAGGAAAACAAAACAACAAACCTAAAGTTCAGTTTTGAACATGTTAAAATTTGAATTGGCTAACTTTTATTCAACATAGTATTGGAAGTCCTTGTCACAGTAACCAAAAAATAAAAAGAAATAAAAGGAATCCAAATTGGAAAGAAATAAGTAAAACTGTCACTGGTGGCAGATGACATGATACTATACACAGAAAATCCCAAAGACACCAACAAAAACTACTAAAGCTCATCAATGAATTAAGTAAAGATGCAGAATACAAAATTAATATATACAGAAATCTGTTGAGTTTCTATACACTAACAATGAACTATTGGGAAGAGAAATAAACAATCCCATTTTGCATCACATCAAAAAGAATAAAACACCTAGGAATAAATCTAAGGAGGTAAAAGACCTGTACTTGGAAAACTATAAGACACTAATGAAAAAAACTGAAAATGACACAAAAAGATGGAAAGATATTTCACGTTTGGGGACTGGAAGAATTAATATTGTTAAAACGACCATACTACCCAAAGCAATCTACAGGTTCAATGCAATCCCTAGCAAAATACCAATGGCATTTTTCACAGAACTAGAACAAATAATTTGACAAATTGTATGGAAACACAAAGACACTGGAAAGCCAAAGCAATCTTGAGAGAGAAGAACAGAGCTGGACGTATCAGGCTCCCTGACTTCAGACTATATTACAAAGCTACAGTAATGAAAACAGTATGGTACTAGCACAAAAACAGACACACAGATCAATGGAACAGAATAGGGAGCCCAGAAATAAACCCACACACTTATGGTTAATTAATCTACGACAAAGGAGGTAAGAATATGTAACGGGGAAAAAACAGTCTCTTCAATAAGTGGTCCTGGAAGAAAATGGACAGCTTACATGTAAAATAATGAAATTAGAATATTTTCTTATACCATATACAAAAAAACTCAAGATGTATTAAAGAACTAAATGTAGGACCTCCCTAGTGGTCCAGTGGCTAAGACTCTGCTCTCCCAAAGCAGCCTGGGCCTGGGTTCGATCCCTGGTCAGGGAACTAGATCCCACATGCTGCAACTAAGGGTTCACTTGCTGCAACTAAAGATCCCACATGCCACAACTAAAAAAAAAAATATCCCGCATGCTGCAACTAAAGATCCCACGTGGCACAACGAAGATCCTGCACATGGCAACAAAGATTCCACATGCTGAACCTAAGACCCAACGCAGCCAAATAATAAATAGATAAATTAATTAATTTTAATAAAAGAACTAAATGTAAGGTGGATAACCATAAAACTACCAGAAGAAAACAGGGGCAGAACACCCTTTGACATAATTCATAGCAATATTTTTTTAATATTTCCTTTCCTATAGCAATAGTTCCTTTCCAATATTTCCTTTCCTAAAGCAAAGGAAACAAATGCAAAACATAAAAAAAGGGACCTAACTAAACTTAACAGCTTTTGCACAGCAAAGGAAACCACCAATAAAGTGAAAAGACAACCTACTAAATGGGAAGAAATATTTATAAATATTATGACTGATAAGGGGTTAATATCCAAAATATGTAAACTGCTCATACAACTCAATATCAAAAAAACAACCCAATTAAAAAATGGGCAGAAGACCTGAATACACTTTTTTCTAAATAATACATACAGATGGCCAACAGGCACATGAAAAGATGCTCAACATTGCTAATCATCAGAGAAATGGAAATCAAAATCACAGTGAGATATCATCTTACACCTGTCAGAATGGCTATTATCAAAAAGGCCACAAATAACAAATGCTGGTGAGGATGTGGAGCAAAGGGAACCCTTGTACATCATTGGTGGGAATGTAAATTGGTGCAAGTATGGAATACAGTATGGAGGCTCCTCAAAAAACTAAAAATAGAACTACCATATGATCCAGCAATTTCACTCCTAGGTATATATCCAAAGAAACTG